CGAACCAGTACATACCGCGCCTCTGCTGGTTTCAGTCAACATACAAAAAACAGCATCTCACAAGCTACGACGTTATATGTGTATAATCTGAAGCGACACCCAATTTCTCACGGCCTGCTACAATAATCTTCCAGCTATCCACATAAAATGGCACAGTAAGTGGGGTCATATCAACTCAGTATTTAAAACAACATTTTATTAACAAATGATCTGTAACACATACATAATTAAAAAAAAATTAATTTTATTTTTAATTATTCCTGTTTTAATTATTAATTAATATCTAATTTCTAATTATTTATTAATTATTATTAAATATTTTTTAATTTAACTTTTAATTATTCCTGTTCAAATGTTAAATAAAAACTACAAGAGAGAAAATGTAGTACGCAGGGTAAATGCGATGTTTCTTCTATTCTGGCCGCGTCCACGTTGAAAACTTCACATCAAGAGTTTCTTATGAAGCAATGATAAAATTAATAATATTATAAATGTCCAACACAGAATCGGCGTGAAAATTCTTCGTGCCGATCTCATGTTTACTTTGTTAGCTGCTGGAATACTAATTTTATCGTCGACTGACGAAAACATCGTTCAGTGTAGTTTCTCAGGAAGAAACCGTGGTACTGTGGGCGGGAGGTTTCTCGTCCTAGGACGGACGGACGTACGTTGTTTAGTCAAGAACAAACAGCCCTTAGCCAGCAGAGATCGCACTTTCGTGCCGTGTTGAGTTGTAAAGCCACAATTTGGCAGAAAATTTTTAATGAATTTAACTTAACCTTCTTAAAATCCCATCTCCTTCCTAATTCTCCAAGCTTCTTCATTCCGTTATCAGCTGTATAAAAATCTGGGATCTTTCAACATCTGATGTTCTTGAACTTTCGTCCCAGGTCTTATCGGTTGACACCCCCGTATTAAGACTCACTTCCGGCCACGTAGGTTGAGTTCCTCGTTCATAATGCCCGTTGATGAAACGAAGAAACACCGACTCACAGGTAATGCAGGTTGAATACCCCAGGAAAAGTCAGAGAGACATAGACTGGCCGATAAGGTATCCTTAGCTTAGGCCAGAGCGTAAAGAACGCCAAACAATACACAGAAAGTTTCACACTATCTCCAGTTGCCACGAATGTGAACAATTAAAAGATATTTATAGATGTCTTACTTATTATTTATTTATTGTTCTGTCTGACGACAGGTCCATATGAACAGGATCCTTCCATCCTTTTCTCGGACTGGGACCTGTTCATATACGTTCTTGGCAGATGATCCAGAAGGGGTTTGCCATTGCCTTCTTCTGGGTGTGAATGGAGTAATTGTTGGGATGCCACAGAGAAACCGGGGAAGCCCCCGGAGGAAAATGACGACAGGTCAGGTCCATATGAACAGGATCCTTCTTCCATCCTTTTCTCGGACTGGGATCTGTTCATATACGTTCTTGGCAGATTATCCAGAAGTGGTTTGCCATTGCCTTCTTCTGTGTGTGAATGGAGTAATTGTTGGGATGCCACGGAGGAAAACTCCGTGTTGCCTAGACCACGGCCTTGTCCAACACAAGTTATAAATTCGGGCACCGCCGGGAATCGAACCCGAGACCCCAGGATTACAAGGCCAGCGTTCTAACCGCTAGACCACCGTGGCTAATAGATGTCTTACTATTAGAACGTAAAATACAATAATTCTAAACGGCTAATAAGTTATCCTGTAAAGATGTACAACCGTCAAGTTATTATACAAAGTGATGGAATTAACAAGTAACATCGTGATTAAATAAGTTAGAAAATGTAAGCCAGAATTTGATGGTTGATCTTCAACCAATATAAGAATAGCATCAACGGTAACCAAGGCAGTTTGGAGAGATTCCCAACCCAGACTCTTCGGCTGTGAAAGGCCGGCTACTGTCCCATTTCAAGATAATTTAAACCGTCGGAAATTTTTAATACAACCTCCCAGTATCACAATAATTTAAAAGTTTAACTCCGGAATTAATACATCATGTTTTCCTTTTACAAATCGCGCAACAGATATGCTTCACCTATCTTAAAATTAATCATCAGACCCCGTACAATTTCCATGAAATCATAAACTTTTATGTATTAAACTATAGCTGATATAGTTGTATTCAATAATTAAATATTCTAATGTATTTTACGTTCCCTGTCCTAAACAAACGGATAACCCCAATACTTCAACAATAACATATTCTGACATCTCATCTACGACTAACTGTTATGCCTTGATGACCGTGTACCAGCGATGCCTTATCCTTTCTAACATTATCTTATTCAACTGTGGCTTGTCCTTGTTAATCGTCCAGAATTACGGACGAATCTCACACACACTCGTGAAATTTACGTAATGAGTGGAATCGAGAAAGCTAACATCTCCGACAGAAAAAACATCCAAATACTGATCCATGACATACGAAGACTGATATATTCTATTGGGTCTGTAATGCAAAGCATACAAAGCCTTGTCTTGTTCTACCAGAACAATCAAACTATGCAGACTAAACCCGCTCTTTGTGGCCAACACAACACCACGAAGGCGTACTGGATGGAGTAGCCTAGATAAACATCCATGCACTGTTAACCTTGGAACTCGACTTAAATCTGAACCTTGAGCTACATTTCACAATCAGAATGCACTCTTACTAACGCGGAGAATAATAATTCCAAGCACAAGAGAAATGTGAACGGTTTATTTCAACAAATTTCCAGAGCAAATGTATTACACAGGCTGATTAAAACGTTAAAATATTTATTGTAAGGTTGACAGTCCGTTCACAAAACAATTTTTGATTACAGTCTCGATGAGATGATAATGTTGCGTCATATTGTGATTTTTTTGATTATAATTGTTTAATTTTAACCGTCTAATCACAATAATATTTTATTAAATATTAAAATATTATTACTACAATTAACATTTAATATTTAAACTTTAAAATATATTACAATGATGCTCTTTCTATCGAAATGTTCGATGCTCTAATTGTAAATCGAACATTTCGATAGAAAGGGCATCATTTTAATATATTTTAATATATTTTAAATATTAAATGTTAATTATAGTAATAATATTTTAATATTTAATAAAATATTATTGTGATTAGACGGTTAAAATTAAACAATTACAGTCTCGATGTTTATGAAGATCCACTACATGTTTCGACCATAACTAGTCATCCTCAGGTGGTTCTCTTTAAGTGCTCTAAACGAAAATATATGACTGCTACATTGTATGCAATGAAATATAATTTTTCCATGCGTGTCATTGCGATTTCTTTACAATTATTCGTGATAGGAAGGGTGGCCCAGAGTAGAGACATCTTTTCCTCTGGTTTAAAAGAATATATTAAAACGGAAGGGAGAAGATGAGATGTTGGTTAAAATATTACATTATTAGAATGTTCAAACTGTCAATGAATTATAATCCCCTTCTGTTTATTAATCTTGAAGGTACGCAGAATGAAGACCAGTTTAACTACAGAATTCTACCGGTAACTATATCCACATAGCCCACTCTACTTAAATAGATAAGCTGCTTTAGACAGTCCATTACGTAGTGAAGACAACAGAATTCAGTTTAATACCCAAATAATATATTTACAGATAATCCTCCAACAGATATATCACGTCATCAGACATACCTATTAGAAATAATTGTAAAGCCATAGCAGAAATCCATGCGAATGTTATCTGTTTAAATGTGTACGATTTCAATACAATTCGAGTGGGCTAATTCACATAAAATATTCCCGTTAATTATGTAAAATCCCACGCAGGACACGCCATACTGCGACCTGCTTACACCAGTCTGCCAGTTGTCTTTGAACATTCGAGGTGCAAGGACGTCCTTTTCACAAGTGAAACGAGTGTTCATTGTCTGGTATCTCATTCTTATCTAACTTATCAGGAGTTTCGGGAACACATCCCGATTCCGCTGTACCAATCAAATCGATTAACCATTTTCGTGAAATAGAAAAAATGTATCAAACACGATGAAAAGACTGAATGCATCTCTGAAGGTAGCGGACATTTTCAAAAAAAAAAAAATATATATATATATATATATAACAGTTTTTTTAAAAGAAATATGGCTGCTCGACTTTTCGACCACTCTGTAATGCAGTAGTCAAAATATATCATCGATTCCATCACAAATTAAAATGGGGAAGGAGATTGAAATGAGAAATCCCACAAAATTTTCATACACACTCCGCTGTTGGTGATTCAACACTATACGGACTTTGCCGTAACCCTGAAACACAAAATTTTCGCGGTGGCTGCTAAAGTGCAACTTCAAACATGAACATAAGACTTCCCAATATGTGCCATGATGATCATATATTTGCTAATACTTCAGATTACACGAATAAACATCTAATTTGTATAACGTATCATGTTAACGCCATTACAGTAGCAATTTCCTACAAAACTCGACACACAAACCGAGTTTCGTGATAAAAGTCTGTACGCACATTATCCCCATACAAAGTCTACTTTACATTGCTGGCGTATGAACTTTCAAAGTGTGAAGGTCATTCAATCCAGGTCCCTGAAATTAATTATGTAGATACATCCTAAAGTAAAGAAATTCCTATCGGACAAATTCTAGTGAAATGTAAAACTGCAATATTCTAGTGTACGTAAACAGTGAAAGTTTGCGTGCGAAACTTGGACGTTAACGTTATTACATAGAAAAAAATGAAAGGAATTATTTAATTCGCATAGTAATTCTCAGAAAAACTAAAATGCAATACTGTTCTAAAGAGTTTTGACGACGGTGATTTACACTTAAAATTATTCATTATCAGGACTTTTTCCATCGTCTGTTCTTTAAAATCACGACGTTTCGGAGGCTGGTTATGCCTCCATCTTCAGGTGAGATGTACCTACTCTGTTATGTCCCTTACATAGAGCTAGTCTCTGTTACAAACTGGCTTCAAAAACTTGGCAATCGATACTCTACTAGTGAAGCATGGTATAAATACTTACCACTGTGATGGGATACACTGGGTTGATAATAGTGAACAGCAACACGTGGTTCACTTTGTCGTTGTCCGACCTGTAATCAATGCAAATGGCTACTGGGTAACTGTGCAAAAGAAATATTCCACAGATACATAATTTAAATTTACAGACACTATGCCAAAACGATTCTCAAAGATAAACTGAGGAAAACTATAATAAAGGTAACCAGTTAACGCGGCTGATTGCCCGAGAAGATTTTATTGAATTCGTTCCCGAAACGTCGGTTTACTACGGTAACCAGTTGACGCGGCTGATTGCCCGAGAAGATTTTATTGAACGCCAAAGTCTCAAATCCTATGGGCAGAATACTGTTTTGAGTAAGTCAGAAAAAGTAAATCTGTCCCACTACACGCCATGTAGGCGCTTGTGGGGAGAGATAATATACGAGGTGCGATCGGAAAGTTTCCAGACTGCGCCTATAAAAACCCGTACACTTATCTCGGGTATTAAATTCATCCTTGACAGGCTGACAAAGAAAGATTTCCAGGGATGCTTCCAGGCTTGGCAACGGCGCTGGGATCGTTGTGTTCACTCCCAGGGGAACTACTTCGAGGGTGATGGATGAATTTAATACCTGAGATAAGTGTACGGGTTTTTATACGCGCAGTCTTGAAACCTTCCGATCGCACCTCGTAGCACCTACTCATTCTTAACCTCGGCATTAGATACGGCTGACAAGGGACGGTCCTTTGGTAGGTTTCAGTGGGGGGCAAACATAATTCACCACGTGATAAAAGCATATAATGGCGTCCTTACTCCCAGGGAAATACCACAGGCGTCCATTAGAAAGGAAGCCGGTGTTCCCCAGACCCGGTCTGGACGTGGTGACTAAAATAAAGAACTGCCGGGAATCGAACTCTGGCCTTACAGGTATAAACACTGCACGCGTTGTAATTTACTTTAAAGACATTCATTTTTCAGTTCCTGCCTGCAGGATAACGAAAAAGAGGACTTTACATCGCACAAAGAGGAAACTGACACCCGCGAAATGTTACATAATTCAAAACGTGTATGTGCGTAACGATTTGCACCAAACTTGGTACTCTTTTCCTGAAACCAGGAAGAGATTTCGAAAAGGTCAAAACTCCGAAAAAGTGGCATGAGTTCGAGTCCCGGTTAGGGCGGTATCTGTAGCTCACAAACCAAGAACGATATAAGAGCTACTCCAATAACAAAGGTTTGTTTGTTTGTTTGTTTTGAACAAGAAATAACAAATCTAAAACTTCTTGTCGATGGTGAAGAGTCAATTGAATAAAAATTTTCTTGGATATTATCCATCGTCTAGTAAAATATAAAACGTAAAAAACGACGTTTCGGAGATGGGACTCTAATCCCTATCTCCGGAGATAGAGATTAGCTCTATCTAGTGGGCCCAACTGTGTAGGAACCTGAAGACGGAGATAGAGTCCCATCTCCGAAACGTCGTTTTACGTTTTATTACTAGACGATGGATAATATCCAAGTAAATTTTTATTCAAGAAATAATAAAAACAAATACCACAACCCCGAAAAACTGTTCTGGATTCGAGTCCCGCTGAAGATGCTTTCTATAGCTCGAAAACTTAAGTACGATATAAGAGCGACGCCAAGAACCCGATTAATGTCCTAAAATTTATGGACAATACTTCTTCTGTGATAACGAAACCTACCGAATGGTCAGCTTTCGGGTAACAAACACTGAAATATAATAATGTGTTAGATTTTCCTTCAATAACACTGCGGGCCCTCTGCTAGGAACATATAAAGCCAACTTCGTAATGTTCAATCATGAGCCTAGAGAAGTGAAGTCAGGCAGCTGTACGAGCATGCTAACATCTGCAAATCTGACAGAGTTTGTTTGTGACCAACGCACAAGGAAACTCAAAGAGTGTTCATTGAAAGCTTTCAACAGCCCCGAAATCGACAGTGACGAGATCTGCAACACATGGCGAGCTGTGAATTAATTGCTAATAATACTTACACTGTGCAAACATCGAGCCACTATTAACTCAATACACTTGTAAAAACCCGAGTCCTCACAAAAATTTACTTTTAAATTAAAGCTGAATAGCTACATTGCACAGGCAACTGTCATTTTCGATAACGTGTTCGAACAAATGCAAGTTCGTGCATTGATATTAGCGCTAGACATGATGATGTTCCGTGTAGTCTCGTAGACGTTTGCCGACGTTTTAGAGGTGCTTGCTGCCTCCATCATCAGGGCGATGAATCAACCAGACTACACGGCGCAACAACCCAGAACACAGAAATCTTCGTACTCATCGCCCTGATGATGGAGGCAGTATGACCTCTGAAACATTGGTTAACATCGACCAGACTACACGGCGCAATAACCCAGACGACAGAAATCTTCGTACTCATCGCCCTGATTATGGAGGCAGTATGACCTCCGAAACGTTGGTAATCATCGACCAGACTACACAGCGCAACAACCCAGAAGACAGAAATCTTCAGATTCACCGATGATAAAACCTCAAATCTTACATAACGATGAGTTAGTTCACGTCCTCAAGCAGAACGGCCTTTAAATTAATTACGCAAAATCAAACTTATGCATTAAATAACTCGTGTCATATATCAAGGCTGATCAAAGTATCTTTGAAAGGGCAAGCAGTTTCAGAGCTAATCCTTTCGAGCGTGCGAACATTAAGAAAAGGATTTTTTTTAAATTTAATTTTTCGAAAACATCTAAAAATGTTCATCGTTTGTGTTTTCTCAACCGAGTTTTCTATTTATCGGCACAGATTTGCTGCTCCAGCCACTAAGGGTTAAATCTCCATACTATCTATATATGTGAGGGAAGGGCGTGGTGTACACTGACGTTAATAAAGCCGAGAATATAAGAGACAGAACGGAACAAAGTCCAAGGAATTGGAGCGGGGGGCCACTCTTCACTTCCATCTCTGCAAACCTAACTCCAGATTAAGTCCTGCAAAATTAATAAGTTGCAGCTCTACGGTTGCAACAGCTTTCTTATTAATCCTCCAAATCGTCAGCTGAGAACGCTGATAAGTTCCTTGCCCGCGTGCCTCGACTTGAGCGGATTACGCTGTCCCCTACACACAACAGGAGCCCGTAAACTGTTTAAACGAAGACAACGCAGGTTTCCAAAGTGAGTCAAACACACAGTTCGAAATTACCGATACCGTAAGTCGCAGATTTCCAAAAACAAAATGAAAGCTCATTCGCGATGCTGGTGGCTGCGGTCTGGTGTCGAGAGAACCACCGATCTTCCCGGTGCGCACTGACGTTACAATGCACCAACGTCAAACTACCTACACTACTGACACCCTACACACAAGCCAAAATAAGATGATTTATCGCTATATTAATATTAACAAAGAGTGAGGTAAACTTTATCAACTGTTCAATATTCCTGTAGACGTCACCAGCGGCCTCAAGATTTCCAATTACCATTTATTACAGAAATTATCGTTCGGCGACAGAACTATGTTGGTGCTGAATAAAATATTAGAACCAGTAGTAGTTATTTTCGAGACTTCATATATTTGGAGACGAAATGCTGTCGGTAGACATACTCCAGTGCATTACCCTAATGAGATCTTTCTTGTCTAATAGGCTTACTGATATTTTACTATAAACAAACCACAGATCAATATAATACATTGCATAAAAATATCTAATAATTTTAAAATATTATAAAATTGATATAAACCTGAAGATGAGGTCTTATCCATCGAAACATGTCATAAAAAAGCGCCAAAATATAATATTTTATACTACATAATGTTTTAATATTATATAATTTTAACATCATCATTTAATTACAACGTTTGTGTATAGACTGTGAAAATAAATATATATTTAATCAACACAAACATGACGCATTTAAGCTACAAATTGTGTGTGTGTGTGTTTAAGTTCAATCTGATCTCAATCAAAAGTTATTACAATGCAACAACCCTCACAAAATTTAAACTTCCTACAACTTTTGGTGAAAATTTAATTGAAATTCGTTGCGTAATTTCACGTTTCCAAACATAAGGATAGCGATCACATAATCCACACTTTCATTTCGTTCCAAGAAATACAAATCCTGCGACATATTTAAAACGAATCAGAGCACGTCCACTCAGAGAGTCGTAAACCAATTTATATTTACCTAAGAGTCTGCACGAGAGGCTGAAACAACTAATTGGACCCTGACCCAATTTCTCACTTGTCAAATTAACTCGAGGTGACAGCTCTTGTGTACAATGTTTGCATCACATTTGGGAACACGGGGGCTGTCCTTGTCCAAAGTAACATATTCTGACGGGTCATCAGTGTCTCCAGTAACCAGGAGATTTTTTTCTAAACCACTGGTACGCGGGCCCCTACCGGCCAGCGCAAAGATAGTAAAGTTTAAGAAGTGGACTTACTTAATCATTAATGTCCATCCACCGTGACCTGTAGGCTGAAATCCGAGTAGCCCTATTACAGACACAGAACGGTATTTTGCCTCGCCACATTTAATTTATAATTATGCAAGAATTAACAGACTTCAATCAGCTTTGGCAACAGAAACTCGGACACATTTAAATTTAGCCCAAACTGGTCCACAAGAAATATCATTATACATAAAGAACTATAAACATTTCTAGCATTTAATACGTATTTCTATAAACACTGAATAACAGAATATAAGTTTACAGCGTTTAATAAAACAAGTTACAAATCTTCAAACCTTTTTAGATTCCATCACATGTGATAAAATATCATCACCAGTATAATGTAAAATTATACAGGGTGATTCAAAAAGGACTTTACAACTTTGGAAGTGTATAGAAATTTATTCAGAAGGCTTACAGAATCGGTTGAGGTGTCATTTTGTAGCAAAACAAATCAAGTTTTATCTCATATAGTCATTTTGTTTCGATGTGATTGCCATTGGTGATACTGCAGACATCCCACCTGAAATAGATTTCTTGCCAAACACGATCCAGCATATCCGGTGTCACTTCTGCAACTGCGGCGGTGATTCGAGCTTTGAGCTCAGTGAGATTGGCAGGTAAGGGCGGAACATACACACGATCTTTAATGAAACCCCATAAGAAAAAATCTTGAGAACGAGGTGGCCATGCTATCGACCCTGTTCGACCAATCCACCGACCTGGGAAACGATTATTGAGGAAATCCCGGACTTCTGTGAGGTAGTGAGGTGGAAGTGAATGCGTCCTTCTTGGTCATCTTCGTCTAACTGTGGTATGAGAAAATTTTACGAGCCATTTTCAAATTCACTGCCGCTTGCGCTCGCGGTGACGGAATTCGGTACTACAGCACAACGTGAGTCAAACTTTATTTGTTTTTCTACAAAATGACACCTCAACCGATTCTGTAAGCCTTCTGAATAAATTTCTATACACTTTCAAAGTTGTAAAGTCCTTTTCGAATCACCTGGTATATCCAACAACTATTAACACTAAAGGGTACTATATTTATAGACCAAACGCGTTTCGACACCTAGGGGTTATCTTCAGTGGCCATTGGTTGGCTGGATGTTGGCTCAGGACACTGGAAATTGTATATGGGTCCTACAAATGAGATGGCATCGCCACGTCTTTGTTTTAATACTCCACACTAAATCTAAGTACGTTGACCCATGACATTTGTGTCTTCTAAATGTTATAACTACATTTAATTCAACTTCTTGCGTCAGGCGTAGGAATTTACTAGTCATTAGGCAGTGAACGCTTGCCAATTCAAAATAAGGAATTACGACGCAAAATTCATCAGATTACTTCTCTTAACGCACAGACTTTGAGTAAACCTATTAATACTGAGCTCTTAATGTTATAATAAAACACAAAATAACTCAAAAATTGGCGTAGTGGACTCGTGCGTACAGTCACAGGTTTCGATTTTGCTACAGCAAAACATATTTAGTGCACATAAAGTTTACAAAACAGGAACAAGAGATGCAAGGAATGAAAAATTCATGAAATTTTGAAATCAATCTGCGATTTTAATGAAATACTAGTGAAAACCACAGCTCTTGCCCGGGATTTCCCTTAAAATTGACTGCATTAAAATAATGTGAATGTTTTTTATAATTACTACTCCCACTATTACTAATGTGTCAGTTATTTGAGCTGTTAAGTCGCGTAATGATCGTTTTATGCATCGAATACGTTAAATCAAACTCTACCAACAGAATTACCCAAAATAATAACATGTCCAGTCTACTTCCTGAAACAGGTCTATTAAATTTAAAATTTCAGTAAGGTAATTAAAGCCATATCAAATTCCTGAAATAAAAATAAGACTTTAGAAATGTTTCCATTTCGCCTTTGAAATTAAATAACGTGAAATTTGGATCGACGAAACTACGACATAATTATCAAGCTTAAAGCGATGTATACGAAGGCATCGATAAGATAATATTTTACTTCCGATTAAAAAAATTCAATGTTTACATAATCGATAGCTTTCCCGTCTACAGCAGATTCAGCATTGTTTATTACACAGATAAGTAATATTATAAAGATATTTTTTAAAGATACAGATAAATCCGGATACACAGTTTAACAGCGACTGGTGCACAGTGCCGGTGGTATCCTCGGCTTGAATCTGGCAAGGTATACAGCAAAACATAAGTCATGTATTATTCTATCCCATTAAACGGGGTTTCTGACAAGCCTAGAAATGTACAAGATGAGATGAAATTCGATACAGTCGGCTTTTGTGGCAGGAAGTAGGAGGAATTCTCGCCCCGAAGGTTGACGGCAGTGACGTACGTGTAAAAGGGCAAAGTTGAAACTAGAAAAGCAAAACCTGTCCCTTAGTCTGGAGTGACGCGCTCCTGAGGTGGATAACGATCCGCGCCCCCTTAAGGCCACAGCCAATCAAATTTTAAAGAAAAACCATGTTTTTTTTTAAGAATCGAATAAACGCCAATACATTTGATCTGGATAAGCTTCGGAAGGGTGGAATTCAATTTGACCATACATAAATCGTTGGCAAAACTCATACGCTGACACTGCGTAGTTCTGATTTATAAACACGTAGAAAACAGTAACAATAACCTTAGGGGTGGATTTCAATGTTTAATGTGTAAATATATAGTCACTGTGTATTATTTCATATGAAATCCATATTAAACCGCTGTGTGATAAACGTGTGTATTCATCCATTTCAGTGAACAAACTCAACATCTCCCACAGCTCCAGCAAACAAATAAAAAAAGCATCGAAGCATTGCGCAATATTTATTCCATAAACACCTTCAATCATTTCACCGCTGTGAAAATATCATCTATACTTTTAATATGACATTGGGTTTGCTGAAGGCAATCCCCCTTTGAGGTCCACGCGATTAAAGACTTCAGGTAACCACATCCATTTCACCTTGGATGCCTAATCTACTTGCCCGCCAACAGACAGCCTCAGGGGTGATAGAGGTGCATAGGCGGGTCGTGACACAGCTCACTGCGTGAGTCAGGATTAGAGCACAGGTCAATCCATGTGGGGTTTCTGGCCTATGAAGTGGCACTGGGACGGGTTCTTCTCCAGAGTCCTTCGGTTTTCCCCTGAACCATTCCTCTGGTCATCTCTTTCACCCATATCCAGTTATTTATTTATTATTAGTGTCGCGTATTATCTATAACCTGTGTGAGATACAGTTTCACCCGATGACGAAACTACAGATATGTTATAAACCGCATTTCACATTAACAAACGAAGGAATGTGTCCAAAGAATATGCATCAATTTCATGACATGTCTTCATCAAAAACCTTTAGCCTTTATTTATTATTTTAGTGTTCTGTGTGACGACAGGTCCATATGAACAGGATTCTTCCATCCTTTTCTCGGACTGGGACTTGTTCATATACGTTCTTGGCAGATGATCCAGAAGTGGTTTGCCATTGCCTTCTTCTGTGTGTGAATGGAGTAATTGTTGGGATGCCACGGAGGAAAACTCCGTGTTGCCTAGACCACGGCCTTGTCCAACACAAGTTATAAATTCGGGCACCGCCGGAAATCGAACCCGAGACCCCCAGGATTACAAGGCCAGCGTTCTAACAACTAGACCACCGTGGCGGTCTCATATCCAGTTACCAGCGACATTAAATAAAGGTGCACCGACCATCGACTAATCGATCCATTGGATGTGGTAAGGGATCGGCTACACACCACCAACTAACCAAATCGCCATTCTTGTGCAGGAGCTCATCAAGACACCACGTGTTGTAACAAAAGTCTAAAGTTAATCGCCGCGTACAGAAAACACAGCTAACGATTCCTATAACCAGCTAATCCGCACTTTCAAGATCAATTTGTTACGTAATGTATATAATTTCCATCGTCGCAAAGGCCATTTCATATATTAATACCGTATCAACTGCACACAGCATCAAAATGTGATGAAAGTCCGATTACGCATGATAAATCTGAACGCGTGGGGAAGGCAAGAACCATAAATATTATTCCAACTCATTTGAAATGACATAAAAATAAGGAAAAACCTCGAAAGCTTGACCAGTTCTCCAGCCAACATTCGAAAAGGGGATACCTTCCAAACAGATGAAAAGTGCATTAGAGTTTTGCCAAGTTCCTGACCTACTATAACTAACTTCAGAGTAATTGTTCTGAAATACAAGATAAATACGATAAGAGATGTTTACCTTTTCCTGCGTGGCTCATCTCCATATCCTCCATACTGTTCTGCATGGTTCTGTAAGAGATTAAACAAGATATCAGCAAACACTGCAATTTAAAGATCTATGTACTTATTCCACAACAGAAATGAAACATTTAATTATTATGAGATAGTACAGCTGCGTCATATTGTGATATTAATTAAAATAATTATTATATTTGTTTACCGTCAAATCACAATAAAATAGTAAGATAAGATAATTAAAATGATTAAAAATATCATCTTATGTTCCATATCGAGCATTCGATTTAAATCGAATGCTCGATATGGAACATAAGTTGATATTTTAATCATTTTAATTATCTTATCTTACTATTTTATTGTGATTTGACGGTAAACAAATATAATAATTATTTTATTTAATTATTATTTTTACAATTAAATTACTCTGTTCCATTCAAGTTAGAAGACAAGAATTACTGGGGTTTTCCTTCTCGATCCTTCACCCTTTAACTCTTAGTAAGTAAAAACATCACTCCCATGTGTGTCAGTCAACATTCAACTAATATTTCATCACTGAACTACAGTTTCTACAGTTAAAAGACTCCATTGGTATCTAACACATTTAAATTATAGTTCCGTGTGTCCATGTCTTGCTTCAGAGTGTCCCAGAAACTGAATGGCGTACAAGACCTTCATGAGAAGCCGATAATCATTCAGTCCATAAAATTCTGGCTTTCTATAAAACCCAAAATTTCATTACTGTGTTCTCAAAATCCTGCAACTGAACTTAATCCTACGCCAGATTAATTCAGTCCACGCCTTCAAAATGTCAGAGATCATTATATATTATCTTCGTATCCATGCCTAGGTCTCAGAAGTGATCTCTTCACTTCAGGTTTTTCGAGTAAAATCTTAAATGCATTTTTCATCTCTCCCATGTCTCATTGATCTCATCCTCCTTGATTTAATCATCGTAATCTCGCAAGATACGTCTTAGGGAGTTGATGATGGTAAAAATATGGCGTTGGCTGAGGATCGTGGCCGGTGGTGGACGTGCGGGTTCTGCCATTAGGGTGTTAGTTAATCAATCTATATTTCAACATTTTCTATGTACGACTGTAGAAGAGTTTTGCCTGTAATGCAGTGAGCGACCTGATCTTCCACAGGCCAACACTGAAGGGGTTACAAATACTGCATTCGGTGTCCTGTTTTTACTTTACAGAAACTAATGCAAGGCAAAATAAGTTTAAAAAACATGGCGGATACTGCCTGCAACTGCCTATAAACTAAACCATTACATACGATAGCAACGGCACTTACTGATTTACTGAATCTAGTGCAGGTGTTCAAAATGACCACCGTTAGCTTCGTGGCAAAGATGACAGTGGTGAGAAAATGACAATCGGTGGACGGATGTAAGGATAAACATAAGAATACACAAGTAATACAATTAATTATTCGGTTTTGTCCGTCTAATCACAAATATATTTAAAATGTAAAATTTAAAATTTGGAAATGTAAATCGATTATTCGATGTGGAACATAAAATGATATTTTAATTATCTTATTTGTAATTATATTTAAATTTTATATTTATATTTAAATATAATTGTGATTAGACGGACAAAACCGAATAAATTTAATTTAATATATTTGATTCACAATATGACGCAATTATACTATCTTATGAGAAGTAATACAATGTATTCACAACTCTAGAAAAGACTGATTCCAGAAAAAAATGGAAAAGAATCCGAACTTGAAACCGGAATTATAAATATCAGCACATCCATAATTATATTTTGATACAATGTTCCCGAAATTCCCCTGCAGAAGTCTAATTTTACAACCTCGATGCACTCATTAATCCATGAAAATGACAGCCGACAGCTAGTGGGTGACTAAGAATGACAAACATACCGTCGTGATCTCTTCTTAACTTGGCAAGACTCGCGCGTTCTTTCAAGCGAACGGAACTAAAAGAGTCACTCACTGCACTTTGCAGGTTTGTCAGAAGTCGGGCCGATCGAACAATGCAAAAGCAGA